TGCAACTAGATAGACACTGTGGACCAATGAAGTAACGTCAGTAAAGAATGGGCCTCATTGCATAAGAACCCAAGTCTGATCTCTTATTTTGCACCATGTGATCTGTTGAAGCTATTTTGCCACGAAGTTTGCTAGGAAGGAGTCAAAGGAGAATACATGCTTATTTAGACTCACATTTGATTTTCTACTTTTCCTGACATGAAAGGTTCTTGCTTTATGAATTCATATAAATAATATGTTAGTGTGACAAAGAACATCTTGGTGCCATAATAACCATGCATTTTCTTTAAGCAAGAATATTTTTTACTTCTAAAGCTTTAGTTTCAAGTTCTCAAAAAACATTTTGTGGGAAAATATTTTGAACCTCAAGTAAAGCATACCCGAAAAAAATGCTAGACAAAAACAAAAGCAATTATTGTAGTACACTGGGGGAAAATTAAATTTATTGTAATTGAGACCTTTGTTCTTTTAGCATATGAGTGTGATTGTGTGAATGTTATCCTTTATCTTCAGAAGTGAATGTTAATATTGCTTAAGAAAATGGCAGCATTTTAAGAGCTGGCAGCAAATTACTTCTCAGCAGCATTATGACTAATTCCTAGCAATATGTCCACTCCTGTGGACCTAGTAGCTTTATATTTTATCTTCTTACCAATCATTTAAAGTAGGCTGAGGTTACAATACGTTACTTTTTTCAGGGCCAGCTAATGAGTGCCATGGCTGCACCAAAATGACCCGAGTTTCACTTACCATCGATCTGCACACTATAATAGAAAAAAGGCCAAAGTTATTTCAAGGTCTTTTCTTGCCTACCTTTTGCAAATTAGGCCTTGCCATCGCTTAAGGGAAGTTAGACTGCACTGAACAGAAAATGCTCTTGCAGTCTTGGAATAAATAATGCAAAACACAACACCAAACAATGTCCTTCAGCATTGTCCAGTATGACCAATATCCCTAAGAATGCTACAAAAAGGATGTCACTGATCTACAGGAGGTATAAGAAGAACAGGGGGGGTGAGAGGACCATCATGGTGAGAACTGGAACTCAAAGAAAAAAAATGCAGCTGGTGTGCCAAGTGTGTATTACAGTATCTTAGCCTATTAGTTCTAGATCACTAATTCCCAACCTCGGGTCCCCAGATGTTCTTGGACTAGAACTCTCAGAAATCCTGGCCAGCACAGCTAGCAGTGAAGGCTTCTATGAGTTTTAGTCCAAGAACAAGCTTGGAAACCACCGATAGATCATTTGCAGAGAACAAAAGAGGACAAGGCTCCTGAGCCTTCAATAGGAGTGTAGAGGAAAGAATGCCAGCAGGTTCTGCTTGTGTGATATAATAAGGAAGGGGACCCAGACTTTCCTGCAGTCCCAGTGTTTTTGGCAAGTAGTGGCTGGGTCTCTCTGGTGGCATGGGAAGCCACAAAATGGCTTCAGTCACATGGTTCGGAGCTCAGAGGGGTCTCCACGTGCCTGCCGAAAGGAGTATCACACTGGCTGGCTTGGATTGGCTAGTGAAACCAAAGGCGGTGGGGTGGCAGCCAGCAGACTGGAAGGGCAGGGTTTAAAGTCTGGTCCACCAGTAGCAGATATAAGGGAGACCTGAGGCTTGTGAGCCTCAGTCTTTCTGAGGAGCTGTTCCCCGGCCCTCCACCTGCTGTAGGTGTACTGGTGTGCACTTTATTAAGGGGTTTCTTATGGTAGCATAGTTAGGTATTTGGGTTCTTCTTTCTTTGTCACAGCTTAGTTGGTGGTTTGGGACATTGGGATGGATCCAAGCAGTCATAGGACAGTAGGTGGGGATCTGCATGTTCTGCTTGCTTTGGAATCCCTACATGGGAACCACGTGTGAGGTCCATGGTCTTGTCTCAGCTCGGATGGGACAGAGTGCCCCTGCCTCAGATGGCAGAGATCCATGAAGTGGCACACATCTGCGTGGTCTCTAGGCGATCTGCCATTCCAGGTGATCTCACAGAGAAGTCCTGTTGAGACAGTGGGCTACACTGCAAGGGATTCAGATCTCCTGATGTACAGGATCCAACCGAATGCTGTGGCAGGTTAACTGCTGCCGTGATCAATAACATTATGGCCTTTTTATCCCTCTTACGGTGTTGTGTACATTCTTCAAGAGACTGGGGCCAGCTTAGCAGTAGGACAACAACACTGCTAACATTCCCTTTTCTGCTCTATCATAAAAAAATTAGACATGGGATATTCATATTCTTATCTCTGGGGAAACAGTCCAGTCCCTCCCCCATGAACTGGCAGGTCCAATTACTGGTTGCTGCATGGTATGCACAGCCAGTGTTGTTCCCATCATACTAATCATGGAAGTAGCCCAACTGGTGCTTCTCCAGCTCCCCGTGTAGTCCACCACTCAACAGCTGAGTGGGGAGATTTGGCAGCCCACCTCCTTGCTGGAGTGCTCAGCTGCACGGGCCAGCGAGGAAGTGCCAGCCGGGCTACTTCCACTATTGGCGTGATGGGAACGATGCTCGCTGTGCGTGGTGACCAGTAATTGCATCTGCCAGTTGGGGGGGATGGAGGGACTGGACTTCCCAGGCATCAGGGATACGAATATGAATATCCCATGTCTTGGGGCGGGGGGATGGAGGGACTGGACTTTCCAGGCAGCAGGGAGACGAATATGAATATCCCATGTCTGTTAAAGCTACACAAGATCCTTTTCAAATTCACTGTTTGGCAGAGAGGCCATAAACAAAGTTGAATTTCTTTTAAGGGGTGTTACTGCAGCTAGTGCCGTCAGCTGGTCATTTTCAGCTGATATGATACTACAGAACAGCAGAATATGTACTGTGTCAGTTCTCAGGTGTTGAAATGACTACATGAGAATGTGGTACTCTTTAATGAAGAAATGTTTGTATCCTAGGCATTTTCCCTTTCGTCTGAAATTGATCACTAACCACACTAAGTGGGTTTCTTTTTCTGGAGTCTGTCATTTCGAACATTGGCAGTACATCGCTGAATCAGGAAGATGCCAGATGTCTCACTTAAATAATTTTTTTTTTAAAAAAATGATTTTAGGAAGTGTGGATCATTTCCAACATAAACTTTGAAATACTGTCGGTTTCCAAAGATTGACTGAAAGCTTTTTCACTGAAGCACATGGGTGTTTTTTTTCAAAGAAGGAAAAATAAAATCACAAATTTAACAGAAAACATGGAGCAATGCCAGATGCTTCGTGTATCTCCTGTTGTTGACAGTTTTGGAAAACGCATGCACGCACGCAAGTGTGCGCGCACACACACACACACACACACAATCAGGCTGTTCCAAATGAACCCACTTTTAAGTTCTTATGAGAATGCAATGGGTAGAGAGCCACAGCCTGTTTCACAGTCTGTTCTTTTAGCTTCTTTGGAAAAGAAGCAGGTTAGCTCCATCAAGGTATTATTAAGAATACAGTTACACACTGTAAAATCCAGCTCTGTTTCTAACCAGTTTCTAAATGTGAAACCAACTGAGAGCTGTGCATTTGAACAGAACAGCAACTCCTTATTGGTGCTGATGGAAGTGTCTTTTGATTTCCTGTGTGAATTTAACAATTTACAACACATTACAAAATTCTGTAATTTTATTTTATTCTCACAGCATTTCAGAGAGGTAGGCAAAGCTACAGGAGACAATTATACTGAGTAAGAAAGAGTTCCAGTCTTTTGCACATCAGATATACCTTAAAAATATGCTTGAAGTGTTACACTGGGTTCTCACCAATACTAATGCTGATAAAATCATACTGGATAGTGTTTCAGTGATGAAATAGAAAACTCTCAGTGTTTTGATATTACAGACAACTGCTTCTGAAGTTAATAATGACTATTGTGGGTGCGTTGTGTTCCTATGGCAAAAGTGTTTATGGTGACACGTTTTTGTGACCTGAATAAAATGTACCAGTTCTCTGGTTTGGTTTCATTTTTGTTTAAATGCACTTGGAGTGAGAGACCTCTGGGACTTCTTGGATTATAGGATTAGCATTTAAAAGTATCACCACAAAACTCTGAAAGGTTTTATCTCTGAATTTACTAACATTACGACTTTTGCTTCTTAAAAAACATTATGTGGCATTCACCTTGAGAAAGTCTTATTTTGTATGATAGGGGTTTTTTAATGTAAGAATACTGAAGTTACATAAAAGGGGTCTCTGTTTTTTTGTGGCGCAACGGGCACACCCAGTGGCCAGTTATGTTAATTATACATGTACTCCCCATGGAGGCATCAAACGTCTCATTGTGCAGAAATGGGACACTCAAACTTGAATACTCACCCTAGCAAAAATGTGCACACGCCGTGAGACTATCAAACTTTGTTCTGTGAAAGCAACCCACTGATCAAACACATGTTCCAAAAGATATTAATAGGGCAAATTCAGAAGATGCTAGTACTTCCTAGGACCTGTTAGTTCTAAGGGTGCCAGGTAAGCAGTATTCCATTCCCTGTGAATTCGGGCACAATACCTGGCAGTAGGGAGCAGAAACTTGGGATGGGGGATGGAGGAGAAGGTCTTTGTTGTGTCACAGAAGCAGGGCAGACAAGGTCAGGGAGGGATGAGGAAGCAA